GTGATCAATGATGAGTCATCATTTTGAGATTTTAGAGCTATTTTGAAATATCTTTTCTGCACAGAAGCACAAACACCTTTTGGATATCTTTGCGTCATCATGTAGTCAAGTAGTTACTGTATAGAAATTTGCAAAGGTTAGCAAAAATTTTGCTTTCGTCTAAAAAAAAGTGCTTTTCGCCCCTCTCAGATGTTATTTTTAGACGAAAGGAAAACCTTTGCTAAAGGGCGAATGACACATCACTAAATGCAATTTTTGACACTGAGCATGAATATGAGGTTAGTTTTTGATGGAAAAGCTTTTTTTATTGGCGAATTCAAAAATACGGTCTTCCTTTGACCCTAAAAATCCCAAAGTTCTCTTCGCATATTCCTATACAGTAACTACTTGACTACATGATGACGCAAAGATATCCAAAAGGTGTTTGTGCTTCTGTGCAGAAAAGATATTTCAAAATAGCTCTAAAATCTCAAAATGATGACTCATCATTGATCACGTGACACATATGGTAGCACATGTGATTGGGGTCATCGGTAGTTTGGGCATGAACTTAAATAATGATGCAAACCCGACCTCTCTATCACTTTACAAATCTGAGATATTTTAATTTTACTGAAACCGGTAATGCTCAAACCGCTACTTTTGCCTCGGAACCAATTTTGAAACTCCATAGCTCAGTAGCCATACATTATTTTTTCAATCACAAAACCTCATATTACTCAGAAATGTTTGCTCGTTCATATGAGATCGAAAAAAGTCGAAATGTTTTTTGAATCTGAACAACGTAGGTCGTGGCTTACGTGCAATGGCTGATGAATTACACTTTATAACAAGAAAGGTAGTGATCATCATGGTTTTCGGCAAGAACTTAACAAATAGCACGATATGCTGATATTTCACACTAGTTGATAACCGGGAGTAGTTTGTTTTTACGAGGTAGGTTAAAAATTGCCATTCTGATGATTTCAGTGAACTTTCAACTTCTGCCATAAACTTCGTATAGGTAAAAACCAAAATCATGGTTTTTGCTTCAAGTTTCTGACGAAACTAGTTAGTTGTTTCAATCTTTTTAAACAAATAGACAGAGATCGATCTTTTGAGTATGTCTTTATAAACAGGAGATTTCTTTGTGAACTGGAAAATACGTTGATATATTTATTTATTCTTCATTCTTCTCTGTAGTAGAAAAGTACAAACAAAGAAAAAAATATAAGAGGAACAAAATGAAAGAAAATTGTATATATAGACTATCAAATAAGTATGAAGATTCGTTTCCTTGCGCATACACATCCAAAAAATATAATATTAAAATTGTTAATACGAAAGGGATAGTTTTTTAAACATGAATTTAAGGGATGAAACTATCATTTTTCTGTGTTTAGTGCTTCAATAAATTCTTCTAACTTTTCTTGAACTTGACGAACTCGTTCTAAAGAAACAATCAAAAGAAATAGAAAATATGAATTATGAGAGAAATAGATAAATAAACAAGTCGTTTCTTCTATGAAAATCTTGCAGACTTTCCAATATGAAGATCTAATTTTTCGAATTATGTTAAAATCCTCAACCAGCGGTTCAGGGAAAACTTCTTTTACTGCTTTAAAGTATAACATTACAATGTTCTGTTTGTTCGCTCTTGTATATTCTACCAACTTACTTAATTCTTCGGCTAAATCAACTCGTTTTCCTTTTAATACATTTGCTTTTAATGTTTCATCACTACTGTAATCATCGAGTATTTCTTTCACTTCCCGTTCTAAACGTCTAGCTACAAAAGAAAGAGAAATAAAAAGGGAAAAAAGCTTAAAATCTAAGTGCAAATTACTTACTTTCAATATTTGATATTTGTTGTCTAATAGCATTGCTGGTTATTTCTATCATACGCTTTAAACGCCAAAAAAAGACAACCTCATGACAATCAAGCTAAAACAATAAAAAAGACGCAAAAACAAGACTATTTTACTGTTCTTACAAACATAACTAGACAGTTCTATGTAGTTTAGTTTTTTAATATTCAAAATTGAAACCAATAAGGTAGACGGTATACAAAATAATTGAAGTAAAGTAATTATCTGAGTGTTTTTCAATATGCAAGTTCTTCGAGGGAAATCTGACCGAATCTTCCAAGGCCATCAAAAAAAATTTCCGAGAGATTGTGCGTCTGAAATATTCATTAAACTTACTTACACCTTGATCGGAGAAACCTTTTTGATAGTAATAAAAAAATCTTCTACAATCTAGGCATGTTGTTAAATTTCGTTTTAAAAACTGGACTTTATATACATGTTGCCACGTGTCTGTGATCTAGAAGAAAAAAGACAATAATAAATTAAAGCAGCGCATCAATGGAAGACTTAGAGGGATGCGGCCGAAGTCATTGAGAAACGAAAACTTCTACTTTTCCTCGACAAAAGGAATAGCAGCGAACAGAAAACATTTTCTAGATCCACCCCACTGCTGCACATATTTAGCAAATAAGCTAGACAACTTACAAATTCACTAGACACATCAACTTTTTGTGATTGTAAATTTTTTTTGACTGCTGTCAATTCATCATAATCAAGAGAAGATCGAAGCTAAAAAAAATAGAAACATCATGAATATGACTTTTTTCGAAAATCAAGGACTGTAACTGATTACAATGTATCATAAACTTAGTCTGTTACACATCAACCTGAATTTTTCAGAACAACTCGAATGCTAGAAGATTACCTCCACTATTTGCATCTCTTTGATGTTTACTCCTCAATCTTCTATTTGCTTCATTTATTGTTTCGCTTAGAGAAGTGACTCACAATATGTCGTGAGAAGGTGAGGGTCGTATTTTCTACTTACAACATTTTTTGTTTTATCTTGATATCTGGTTTGCAGTAGTTTTTCAAGCTCTTTTGAACATTGTTGTCTAAATTTTTCCTCTTGTGTCGACCGTTGTAAACTGACTAGTCTAGCCCATGATGAGTCTTTTTTCATACCAATTAATGTTTGTAATTCTGATTCTTCTTTTTCGAGTTGACTTCGTATAACTTGTTCCATAAATTTTGCTGCGGCTTCCCATTGATGTTTGTCCGGAACACTTCTGTCTTGCAGTGCATTTGTTTGTATCACACGAAGAGAATCTAATGCTTTTGAATCCCATTGATGTCGCGTACGAGATGAATGAACAACGGACAGTTTTAATTCATCCCCAATTGGATCATACTGACGAGATTTTTGTTCACGATCAATTAATTTTCGAAATTCGTCCAATAACACAAGTTGACCAATCTAACAAGTGAAAAAATCAAACATGAGACTCTTTCTCATATATCACTAGATCATAAACGTTCATTTCCTAGTCTAAACTCGAAAATCTGTATGGATATTTATCAAGAGGGACGAAAGAAGACAGTCACATTCTACATACTTCTACACATTGTTTTGGTAATTCTTTTTCTGCCCATTGTTGGAGTTTAACGTCAACTATTGTATTAAAACTTCTAAAAATGACAAAAAAAATTCATACACTCAATAGTGCAAACAGAAATAAAAACAAAGAAGAATAGAAAAAAATGTAACTATCACAATATATCGCACAGTTTCTTTTTCAAATTCAGATTCGCTTTTGTCTTTTATATTGTTCATAAAATCTTACCCAACTGTTGCTGATTGGGCTGCTGTAGCAAATATATCATTGAATACATAATCAGACATTGTATTCCATAAATGTTTTGATATATTTTGCTCCCTAGATATATCGAAGAAATGAGTGAAGGACCAAAAATAGAATACAAATATTAATTTTACCATTCTTGACTAGGTACAAGACTAAGATTGACAACTTCATCAAGTATTTCGCCTCGTGCTTTCTCAAATAATTCATCCTAAATGAAGACAGTAACCTTAAATCATGTAATAATGTTAAACTTGTACGAATGGCTACTATACCCTATCTTGTTCTCGTATTTTTGGAAAACTATTTTTCCATTCTGTTTCTAAATTAAATCGCGAAGCTTTGAACGTATCGGCTTGTTGTTCAACTGATTCTTTAACCATTTTCCAAAAACAATCACTAACAGCAAAACTTAAATTACGAGTGGTCGTCTGTGTCGCTTTAAATACACCATCCCTAAAAATAAAATATGTATTATAATGGTAGAGTGCTACACGCTCTTCTTTAGAAAAAAAAATACAATGCATTCTATGGTGCTCTTATTTCATACTTGAACAATTTTGAATTGCGAAAAAAATCTTCTTCATATTTTTGAATGAAATCGATGGGATCATCGGCGCTTCCTTAAAATATCAAAGGTTTTTCTTTCTAGGGAATAAGAATGCGTTTAATCTACCTTTTCCTGTAACAACGGCAAAATATCCTAATGCTTTCATTGGAAATAGTTTTCCATCTAGTATTTTCTTTATCTAAATCAAGCGATAAAATGTAATATTAGAGTAAAGTTCTAGAATTCTCGAGTTTGTCTTACTCTATCTGTATCATGTAAATTTGCTTCAGCCATATCAACTTTCGTCAATACAAAAATAGTTCGTTTACCATGTGGATCCATTTTACTAACTAATTCCGTTACGTTGCTTCGCTCAGCATCAACGCTACCATCTAGACACAAATTCATATGCGATATTAAATGTAGAATGAGAAATACAAGCTTCAAATATAGATATAATCTTAGTTTTATGACATTTTAATACCTTGTATACAAAGAACTATTGCATTTGGATTCGACATGTAAGTTGTAGCTAATTTAATGATGGCATTTTTTGTATCCGATGCCATTCCTTGAGTTTCTGTCTAGAAAGAGAAAAACAAAGTAAAAAAAACAATTAAACTAGTAGTAGCAATTGAATCAGTTCTTTCCAACCACGTATGTGATTGACATGAACAATTTAGAATAAACTGAAAATATCACAAGCAGTCAAAAATGTTGGAGACCTTTCTAACACGCAGTTTATGTAATATGATTTTTATGCATGAGACGGTGACATTCCGATAATATATAGCATTCATCACACTTTAGAAAATAAATCGTGATAGACTAAAGAATGACTTACACTAATAATTCCCGGTAAATCAACGAGTACCATTCGTTGTAAACCCGGTCCTTTCACTGATAGTGATATTACCTAAAAACAGAAAAACAAGATATTTATTTGAATAATTTCAGTTTGTACCTACTTCATTACTAATTGTTTGTCCTTCTTTAACAGACGTCTTCATTCTCAACTCAATTTCTTTTCGTAATGCAGCTAACTTTAAAACAAGAATATAATTATAAAAGAATGAGACATAGAAAATATATCTACATCATTTTCTTTGGTTAAATCATATTCTTTTCCACTATCTCGAAATTGTGCTATATGATAGGGACCTTCACTTAATGTCACTTTCACTGGACTACGAGTCATCATTTCACCGGCACCACTACAAAAAAGGTAAAGAAAACCTATAGGCTCATGTAACTAAACAAAAAACTGAAAATATACCGAGGAAATATTCTTGCTTGTGTTATCATTTCAAGCACACTTGTTTTCCCAGAACTTTGATCTCCAATAACAATAACCTAAAGTTATTAAAACAGAATTGATTTGTAACACCAAGTAAATGTGAAAAGAAGGTTTTTCGTTTTCATTCAATTAACCAACATATAAAACATAAAAACAAGTCAAATATACCCTTGGAAGATGATCTTGTATATTATAATTTGTATCATATTCTGATAATTCATCTAACACATCACTGTACATATCGATTAGAGAACGCTGGAAGAAAATATACAAAAAAATAAGAACAATATCAGTAATCTTCATATTTGTACCTTTATTCTTCTCAATTTTTTTCCAACATTTTTCTCTTGTCGTAATAACTGTTGTTTCTTCAATAATTTGACTTCTTTTTCTAAACGATCTATCTCACGTTGATATTTAATTTGTATAGACATCATTTCTTGTTGAACTTTCTCAGCCCGATCATGCTGAATCTGTTGAGCAGTCTAAAAATAAATAGCCTAGTTTTCATAATCAAGAGAATATCAGCCATTTATGTAAACAAAGAGTGCAATCAAAGACTTGAACGAATACTATCTCTATAAGTGCACTCGCTTTCTGCATACAAACAGATCTTAATAGAACAAAATTCTCTCGTTTTTCTCCCGAAATCATTAAAGTCAACATGGAGAATAAATATAGCGGGAATCTGCTGTATTTAGTAATCGTTCCTCCTCAATTTGATTTAAAAGTCTTCAAAGATTGTAAACTGGCTCAGCTATTTTCCCTTCAAAACGTGATAGAACGTACCTTCAGCGGCGTATCAAAGGGGGGAGGGGCAAATGGGCAATTGCCCATTTCATTTGGGGATTTGCCCATTGAAATTTTACTTAGCAGATATACCCAGGCGGTTTCTTTTTGTATAACCCTTAGAAAGATATTTGTAAGAGTGCCTATAGACAGAATTGTTTGTTTATTTTTGAAATAGAATCTAATTCAAAAATCTCATTTCATTTTTTTTGTTCTTTTTGGACCAAAAATCTTTTGGCCCATCGACAAAAACCTCGCCCATTTTGCCCATCGTTTTTTTCCGCTACAATAGAAGTTTGCCCATTGTACTAAAAATCCTGGTTACGCCGCTGCGTACCGTACCCTTGCCAATTTTTCATGTTCTTCGGCATTTGGTGAATTTTGAACGTTTTTATATGATGCTGCCCATGCAAACAATCCATCTAAAACATTATATGTGAAAGATAATCACTATTAGCAAACAACAAAAATTTCTTCTTACCTGAATTCTTCTCTCCTTCATGTTGTTCATCTGTTGAACCTAGAACAAGTCCTAAAATAAGCACAAAGTTGCTAAGATCGCATGTAAAAAACAAATACTGTTGAAATTGCTTTAGAGAAGTACCAGAAATGATGAACACTTACTTTGAGAAGGGGTTAAATATTTGTAAAATGAATCTTGTAATTGTCTGATACGATCCTGTAGATTGGACTAAAATAAAAAAGATTTGAAAATAGGATTCATTTTAATGTGATCCGTGTGCTTGATTCCTACGGTATCAGGTAATGAAACAGAATCTTTTAAATCCGATAAGCGTTTTGAAAGATTGTCGACAGCATTCTCTGGCAAATATTCTTTCATCCATGTTAGATCAGGTAATTGTTTCTTTATGTCTTCATATTTCTAAAATAGAGTTTTTAGTAAAAAATAAACAAGTTCAATCTAGTTTTTCCCATTACTTTATGAGCAGCATAACCTCCACCAACAGCTGTACCGAATAATAGATATCGCAGCCGTAATAGACGAACAAGCAGAGACATAAAACAAAATATCTAAAATAAATAACCAAAGGCATCCATAAGGCAAAACAGTAGGATTAATTTTTGTTTAAAAGGGAAGATACTTTAATTTCGTATTTTATTAAAACAATTTAAAAATATTTAAAACAAAAATATGTAAGACAATCAAACATTACAATCTTAAAGCTACACACGTTGTATGTAACAATTTTAACGATAGTTTTATTTTTATATATTTTTATACATATTTTATTAAGTTCACTGAAGAAGACCTCAATGTAAAAGAGGTCGAAACGTTTGATTGTCTTATATATTGTTGTTTTAAATATTTTTAAATTTTAATAAAATACGAAATTAAAGTATCTTCCCTTTTAATCAAATTTTATCTATTTCGTATCAGCCAAGTGTTGCTCAAGTAGAATTAATAACACAAAATAGTATAAATTCGCTGTATATCATTACACGAAGTTCAAGTTTCTCAATATAGAAGTACATACAGAGACATTTTAATTCAGTTGTTCTTTTTAACTGTCTGTTTTCAGACAAGAGATTGTAGGAACTCTATGTGTGATTTCCTCTCGGTTGTGTGAATCAAGTTTAGTTTCTCATTTGGAACGAGAAAATCTTGACGAGTGAACTCTTATTGTTACTGAAGTGTTTCTAACGAGAATTTGAACTAAAGAAGGATCATTTGACACTATCTTTCTTTTTGCAGTGCCACAATACACCTAGAATATAAAATGGCGTACACATATCTTCTCTTTCGGTCTGCATGTTGTTCGGTTCAAAACGTGATGAAAACAAAATGTAACATGTGTTTCATTATGTCCTGCTTTTATCCTTCAGCTTACTAGAAAAATTATGCGAGTGTCGTGTATTAGAAACACTGTTTATCTCAGTGTTGAAATTATTGAAATTTTTCTCTGGTGATTGCTCTTCAATAAAGTAAACTTGGCAGGAAAAGCGTGCTGATACTTTAGCTGCCCAAATATTATTAAATAGTATATCACAACTTAACACTAGACGTCAAATGTAGAACAAGACAATATAAGTATTTTTGGGTAAATTCAGACTGCAAGCAGGATATCGTCCTGTAGAAAAAAGATGAGATGAGTAACAAAAAACTCATAGTGCTGCTTCTAATCCAGATATCTCTGCAACGTTTCTATTGGTCAGACTATAAATAACGAAAATTAGACTAAGAAACGATGTTGAGTAGGAGCGCTAGTTGTTGAAAAGAGATTAACATAAATACAGATGAAGATAGTTCTGTCGTTTTAGTTCATTCCAGAGCAATCCAAATAGATGAAGCAAGAAGAGCAGCTTTGCTTATTATTCGTCTTGAGTGAAGACCATTAGGCTATAGTTTCTGCATAGTGGAAAACTAAAATGTAACGAGGCGCTACTTAATTAGAAGATGTCGCAGCTTTACGGTTTATTGCTGATAAATATTGAATCTTGATTTTCGCAAGTTCTTTTAGCATGTTGAAGCTGAAATCGTACTACTTACCTGTTGGCTTACAACTCACACCAAATATTTTGCAGTGTCTGGAGATTATTGATGCAAAATTGAAGTCTAATTATAGTATGGCTATGGAACTGAGCTGCCAGATAGTCCACATTTTGCGGACAAATTCCGCTTTCTGTAGTTTTCTCCGCAAAGTGTCCGCTGTCCGCAATTTGTCCGCTTTTCGAGGATTTTTTGCTTTTGTCCTTTTTCCTGCAATTAAGATTTTTGCATTTTCTCATAAAAAACTTGCCGCCTTCGGCGGCTGAATAACCTGTCCAAACAATGCTTTTGCAACTTTTATAAAACAGGCGCGCACTATTCTGAGAACTAAACCAGGAATTTGTCTCTGAAGTGAATGCTAACTGAAAAACATTAGCTTGTCTCAAGTGCTGCTGAAAGGGAGTGTGAAAAATAGTGAAATACTAAATCTTCGAGAAAGTCAACTCGGTCAGAAAATCTTAACCATTAAATACTGTCGTAGGCGGGAAAGTTTTGCATTAAATTTTATCCTGCCATACATAACTCTTGAAAAGTTATGATGGCTGATCAAAAACGCGTATCCACAAAAAGCCAATATCGATTCAAATTGGGATTTAAATGATGTTTTGTACTTCTTTTGTGTTCCTTAAGTGGAACCACCATAAAGCGCTAGAAAATTATTTTTGATACTTTTGATACACATTTTGTATCGGTAAGGTCAAAGCAAATTCTCACTTCAAACCGTGATAAAGTAATAATTGTAATAGACCTTGTCTTTCCGCTTCTTATTCAAGTTGAGCTGCTTCTATTAGGAGATATTTCACCTTGGATTAGCTTTTATTATTTAATATACAGTCCAAGTGGAATTCATCTTACAAGCTTATACAAGATCGGTCGTTTTCTTCGGAAATCTTGTGATAAAATGTTACTGTATGATCTTACAAGCTCTTGTCTCACAAAAGACATATCACCGATAGAAAACTAAAGGTGATTTTGAGTTGCTGAAAAATGCTTTTTCGTGTTTAGCACACTCGAGAATTCGTATGTGATCTTATGAAAATCAGACGTTTTTTGGGAAATCTTACAAGATCTTGTACAGATTTCCCAAGATCTTGCCAAATCTTATGGACTTATTGATTGCGTGACATGAGGATTGTCTTCATGAGGAAACTCCACTCTTTTTTGCATATGAATACACTAGGAAATGCGTGTGAACGATTTAAGAGCTATCTCACTGTCTCTGATAAACACAGAGGGAGTGTTAAACCGAGCTGTTTAAGTGACATAACCGAGCTGCCAAATCTAGTTCTTAAACTAAATTTACAAACCGCCTCGAAGCTGTTGCGAATGTTCATGAGATTTCTACGATGGATGTGGATACATACAACCATGTGGGTGTGGTCACCACGAATGGTGATGATATAGTTAAAACTGTCATCTGATAATATTACCTATTAGATATTTTTCGAATCGTACGTTTTAGTTTGTGAAGAAATATTTTCTCGTTTCAAGACACTCGAAAACTTTTTACAAGAAATACAGAAATATGAACGACCGCACAAACTTTGTGTCAGACAACTTTGTGCTAATTTGCCTTTGCATTCATATCTATACCTTGTAAAAAGTTTTCAATGTCTTGAAACGAGAAAATATTTCTTCACAAAATAAAACGTACGATTCGAAAAATGTCTACTAGGTAATATTATCAAATGACGCCAGTTTTAACTATATCATCACCATTTGTGGTGAACACATCCCTATGGTTATATGTATCTACGTCCATCATAGAAATCTCAGCAACAAAATCTTTCTTCTAAAAGACTAGAGACTAAGTACGAGAAAAGTCAGTTTTACAACATAGTAGGATACCTAATGTATCGAACAGCAAGCAGTTACTCTCTCAAATCACCATGTACAATTAAAAGCTGTCGAAAAATACAAATAACTGCCGACAAAGAAAAAGAATTCATTAACTGTATTTGGCTGTTAGCGGTTAATTTTGTTGTTAAAATCGAAACTTCATGTGATTTCATTCTTATTTCTTTCTTCGTGCTATTCTTCTTCTAATGTACACCAAATATACTTCGTATGAGCCATATTGTGATTATGACCGAGATGCGGAAAGAGTTTTGAGCACAGAATGATTAATTGAAAGAAATTTTAATTAGTTCAAAGAATATTTATTATCTGTTCTCTAAAGCACGAACTTCACTAGATGGGAAATCACTATCGGTCACTTTGCAAAGTTTTAAACGTATTTTTGATTACAAACCACTCGTCGTTGTTCGATTCGTACAATAGTGAGATTGTGAAGTCACAATAATGTTTGTTTCATCTTATGGCCGTTGTACTTTCAGTGCTGTATAAACCATCATTCAATCGTTTAGTTCGGTTTATTGAAATACATCACTGTATCAATCATATTAAACACGAAGCTTCGAGATAATTTCGATGACAAATTTTCGTCTATAGTATGAAAGTAAACGCTTTTCTGCCATAAAGTCACATGTGTTACTTATACAACACATACTTTGGCTCTCAATTCTCCACAGACAATGAAGAAAACTTTTTTGCGAACGCACTTGAGAGGATAGGCAATCAATCGATATTACTTTACTACCGATTTTGTCTTTTTCAACTAACTAAACATTTTAGGCTCTTACTTCTAGACAGAGAAATGTCACTACATCAGCTTTTTACTTCTTCTTTGCTTTATGAAAAGAAAACCACTCTGAATGTGGTCGATTCCCTCCCTCTCTCGTCCGAAGACTTGAGACGGTGCGATCATCAACGGAAGCAGGCCGAGTTCACAGATGGAACAGCCCCATCCAACTTCACGCTCAGGAAAAACCACTGCCGCTCGTCATCGTGGATTTTTCGGACTTCTATGGCTATGGGTGTTTTGTTGATACCATACTATAGAAATGATCCCTAAAAGTATGATACTAAAGTTTTATCTGACTTCTCATCCTTTATAAATCTCTTCAGCAAGCAAAGATTGTGTAGTAGACTGATGACTAATGTCCTTCTCCTCTGTTCTATTTCTCTCTCTAATGATTAATACAACGATTATTTGTTATATTGACACGGATTGTTTTATTTCCGACTAATCACCTCTGTTGTTCAGAAAACCGTCTATAATAACGACTTATCTACCTACCACACAATTCCTCATCTTCTGATGTACACAATCACTATACACAATTCACTATTCACGGAGCACTATTCTTCTGTTTGCTCTTCACAAAAGCGACGAACAGTCAGAAAAGCGGAAGATGTGCAAATCATGGGTATCTGCTGCGCTTCGTTGCAATTTATTAAGTTGCTTAAAATTATTATTATATAAAGAGGTAAATTGAGACATCTCATCTTCAGGTCGCAATGATGATAGACACGCATGTCGGTGGAAATACTCGACTGATGTGCCAGAGCGACTTTACATTCTGAATGATATTTGAAAAGAATCGATGTAGCTGAAGAAGTCAAGTCCAATATAGAATCTTCTTCACAGTCAAAATAACTGTCATTTGAG